ACTCACAGCAGCCCAGCTCCAGGTCGAGCTGTTGTTCATCATCTTAGCTGTAGAGGGCGTAGCGTCACTGGCCCTCACTGTGGGATCCGAACCGCAGCCCTGCTGCTCAGAGCTGGTGCTCCCAAGCGAGCTCTTAACCAGCTGAGCCACTTGGCCGGCTCCCAAGCCAGTTCTTAACCAATGCGCCACTCGGCCGGCCCTGTTAAGGTCATCTATTTAAGAAGTTTTATAAAACACTGAATTAAATATCTGACAAGTTGCCTTTAGTGACAAGAACAATATAGTGGAAAAATCAGGCTCCCTCAAAGACATAAGCCGCTGCACACAAGGTAATCTTGGTAGAAGATGGCATTGGGGTATGCAGGTCCTGCTAGGACCAATTCGTACTTAACTTACCATCTTTGTGGGCTTTGGATCACACGAGTGATATAAATTTGAATCCCTAACCTGGATGAAGCACAGGCCCATTTTTATGAATTCCCCGGGGAGATTCCCCCCACCCCTTTTAATCTGCATTCAGCAGAGATATACAAGTTTTCTAGTTATCTCCTGATGCCAGTAGGTAGATTAGAATTTTGTTTAGGGTATAACATTGCAAGGATTCTGGGGTTTTTTGGGGAGTGTGATGGGGGGGTTGCGGTTCTCATTTACAGCTGTGCATCTGACACAGGTCCCGAGGTCTTATCTCCCTTTTCCACGTGGCATTAAAACCCAAGCCTGGGTTACTGATTTGCACAACTTTGTCAGGGTGCCACAGTTTCAGCTCATGTCTCTAGTGTCCTCTGTTTCTAGCCCAAGTCCATTTGCAAGTCCCAAGACTTATTTACAAGAGTACCGGTATTGTTATATTTTACAGGGCATTTCTAGGAGTCTCTGGAGGAAGAGTTTCCAAGTTACATTACTAGAATACAAAGATAATCTTCATGTTACAATTATACCTTGTCTGAACTGTATAGAATGTTAGACAAATATTTATTAAATGGTTTTAAAAATTTTGTTTCACTTGCAGAGTCAAGTTTCTTTTATTTTGCTTGGTTGCTTTCCCTCGATTTGGCTGAGTTTTAAAGACCTTTAAAGCCAAACACAGACGCATTAAAAAAATTTTTGAAGCCATGCTGTCTATGGACTGGGACTATAATAAAAACTAATATGAGAAATTGAGGCTATTTTGCTTAAATTTATGGCATAAAGCCTTATTCCTTCCCGTGTTTTATTTTGGAAAAAATTAATCCTGTAGTAAAGTTTCAGGAGTGATAAAATGGAAATCCATACGCCCTTCACCGCGATCCATCGTTGTGCCACGTTTGCTTTATCCTTTTTTGTGTACACGCCCAGTGTCTGTCTGTGTCTGTCTCTCTGATCATGTGTTCTCTAAACTGTTTTATTCTAAGCTGGAGATATTGTGACACTTTATCCTTGAATGCTCCTTCCTGTATCTTCCAGGGACAGGAACATTCTTTTATATAATCAGTACTGTGACCACAGTCAAAAAAGTTTATGTTGACTGCAGGGCTATCCAGTGTTCAGTCTTTATTCACATTTGCATCCCCAGTTGTCCCAACTTTGTCCTTCATGGCTTTTTTAAATTTTAGGATTGGATCAAACCTTGCATGTTGCATTTAATTATTATGTTTCTTTTAATCTGGAACAGCTTCCTCATGGTTCTACTTTTAAAGAGTTCAGACCTGTTCCACAGAATGTCCCTCAGTTTGAATTATCTGACTATCTCATGATTGGATTCAGGTTAGACATTTGAGGCAAGTGTGTGGCGCAGTTGGTGCGGCGTTCTTAGTGTGTCAGACCAAGAGGCACAGCACACGTGCAACTCCTGCACCTTGCGTTTTTCCCTTCGCAGTGGGTTCTAGAAATCACTCCATATCCCTTCGATAGCTTCATAATACTCCACTGTGGAATATCCAGTCTGTGCAGTTAATCTTTTTTGTGGCCATTTAAGTTAGTTGTCATACTTGCTCTGATAAGTAATGTTGTGATAAAAACCTGTGCCTATGTTTTCTTCAGATTTTGGAGACTTAGTTCTATGACTTGGGCAGTTAAATTTAGAATTTATTTTTAGTTCACAATTCAAAAAATGTTTCTTAAATGTCAGTACATTTTAATGTAAATGTTTAATGCCATTTTTAGCAGGTGAAGTATAGTGTGTTTTGCAAATTGGTTCATTTGATTGGTCAACAGAATGCTGTGCATAGGAGAATGCGAAAGTTGTGTTTACTGTCATGTGGATTTTATGCTAGCAAGAAGAGCTGGTGTAGCTCGAGGAGAGGTTTATAGCCTCCCGCAAGAAAGGATCGAGCCTCCAGTTCCTCTGTTGAATCAGTAGCAGGAGCCCATCCACCGTGTTTTAAGAAAACAAGCACTTTGCTTGGGACTCCCCCCCCCCCCCAGTCTCCATTGTCCGTGATGTCCAGCTTGTCGCCTTTGCCCATCTGCTCAGCTCTGCACAGGCTCAGGGCTCACTGTTGTCTGCATTCCCTGTCACCCACTCACCCAGCTCTAATTCAAGTGCTGCCAGCATTTCCCCACTTTGCATTTTTGTCAGTTTTTAATACTCACTCTGGCAGCCGCCTGCCTGAGTGGCTCAGATTATCTCTTGAGGTCACAATTTATGTTGTTACAGTTCTTGTTATAAAGCCACTGCAGTTTGAGGAGTCTATCTTCAATGCTAATTTTTCCAAAAAGATGTGTTTTTAGTGTGCAGTTTCAAAGAAAGCAAGGTTTTTAGGAATGCAGATCACAATGTCACAATAGAAAATGTACATTTAAAAGTTTCAGAAAGTCTAATAAAAATGAAATGGAGGTTAATAGTCTGTTCTGAAGTCTACATTTGACCTCCGTCATGATCCTTTTTTTCAAAGTTTTTTCGGTAGATCTTTATTTTTAGGTTAATATCTTGAAAGGAATGTATATATGCTTATTACGTGTTAAATGTATATTAGATTGAACTTTGTTTTGGAATCATTTCTTGCCTATTTTCCCCTAGGTTTTAGAAGACTAAGCTTAGACATCCAGTCTCCTCCAAACATTGGTCTGCGTCGTAGTGGACAAGTTGAAGGTGTTCGTCAGATGCATCAGAATGCGCCCCGTAGTCAGATTGCCACAGAACGCGACCTGCAGGCGTGGAAGAGAAGAGTGGTTGTGCCAGAGGTACCACTAGGCATATTTAGGTTTGTTTTAGGATATCTATTAATATTGTTTTTCTCTACAAAAATATATCTATATGGTTATTTACAGATCTTAATCCACTAGTGGTACAAATAATCATATAAATATATTTTAGTAATGGATTGGATTCTATTTTAATTGTGGTAAGAAAATAACAAAATTCTTTTTACTATGGTAAATTGTTTCATAACAAGTCTTGTTTTCATCTATACAAATACCTACTTTTCTCCCTTCAGTATTATTTTGAAAGAAATCCTAGACATAATATTATTTTGTCAATAAGTATGTCAGTATGTATTTGTAAAAGACAAGGAATTGTCTTATAAGCACAATGCCATTATCGTACCTTAAAAAAACAACTGTTCAATAGAACCAAACATCCAGTGTTTAAATTTCCAGTTGTTTCACATGTCATAAACATTTTTAGTTCTTTTGTAAGACTTGCTTCATTATTTTTTAATTTTGTCAGGAGGGACATAAAATCTGTTTTCTTTTTGTAATGCCAGCAGGCATTGATGCTCACTCTTTGATTTTCACGCTTAGATTTCATTCATTTATTAGAGATTATAAAATAATGATACTTCAGTTCTGTGAAGTCTTCATTTATTATCTTGGATACTTCTAAAAAAGAAATTTACCCAAATCTAATATTTGATTATCCAGTATATAAAAGACAGAGTAGATGCTTGATTATTTTGCTCTATTTGCCTTCAAAATAAAGATTTATTCCGTCATCTTCCAGCAATGACCCAATTTGTATGTTTGTGTTTTCTGTATAAATCACGCTGCTGTGATTTAGCTTATTTATAATATTCCTTATTGATACTTACATTGTCCTATCTCTGTCCAGGACTCAGGTTGGCCCTGAGTCCTTTTGAAATGACTGTGGTAGCCTTCCATAGTGTCCTTGCTGTTATGAGTGGCAAAGTGTAACAGGTTTATCTGGTAAATTTCTTGACCTAGACTTGGAATTAGTCTTTTCTCTTAAGCAGTCCTATTTTCTTTCAGTGGGAAATGATATTTCATAATTATAATCTGGGCAGTAGAGTCTTGCTACCTTGCTACTTACTGAATTGTAATATACTGATTTTCAAGTTATTGAAATGGAGGCAGCAAATACTGTCTTTAATATCTAAACTCTTTCAGTGTTCTGTCATGTTTGTGTCTCATAATGACTAATACCTTGAAGATCATTTTGTAAAAGCGTTTCCTTCATGTGTTTAGCTAGAGGAGTTTCAGTGATTGGTGGAATAATATTGACTAATACTTATAAATTGTGCAGTGAATTTGAGAGTGTTTAAAGTGCACTATGAAATAGTGAAAAGCAAAATCTGGGATTGGGACAGGATAAGAAATACAGAAAATCATCATCATGTATGTAGAATGCTGTAATTAAGTTTTCAAATTGTGTCTTGAGTTGTATGGTCATCAGAGCCAAAAGTGTCATTTTGGGGTACTTTTGTTCGTCAAAACCAAGGGAAGCAAACCAGCATCAGGAGTGAAAGACCTGAAGTGTAGTTCCTTCAGGCATTTGTTTTCTTTATATAAAGGAAGACTAGAAATAGTTGAAGGCTGGAATCATTGTTTCCCAGTTCATCAGGGTCTCAGGTTCCTCTGTTTCTGATCTCCATCTTAGACTGTGGATTTCAATCTTAAGGTCAACTCAAAGTCCAAGATAGCTGGTCATCGCATATCCACATCTGTGATGGAGGCTGAGATTTAGGCCAGAGGAGGAGGAGAGGCAGAAGGCAAAAAGGGCATGTCTGGTTGAGGGAACTTCATTTAAGCAGACTTAATGATCCTACATGACGTTGCTGCATAAGTAATTCATTGACCAGAAAGTCCTCATATGGCTGTACGAAGCTACAGAGGAAGCTAGGCGATAGCTTGTATTTAGGGCAACGAAGAGCCTGGGTAAAAACAGGTTCTGTTTCTAAAGAAGAGAGTGAGAATGGATTTTGTGAGTCAGCTAGCTGTCTGCCATGAAATAATTTTCCCAAAGAAGAGCATTGCAATTTCTAGCGCTGTATTCTGAAATATATGTGGGGCTTGATGGAGATGCTGAGTGATGTCATAATGCTCAGAGCCTTTGACAGCAGTCCTTACAGGGGGGGAGCAAAGGCACATTTCACATAGCTGTTCATCAGTGTCATTTCATAAAGAATCAAGAAACATGTGTTTTCTGGCTGTTAAAGTCGCGTGTATCCATTATGAGAAATTTAGGTAATAAAAGTATGAGAAGATAAATGACCCTACTGTGCAAAAAAATGAGCACACAGTGTTGCTTCCCAGTAGAGGATTCTGTTTGGGGCTAGAATTCAGGCAGGCATATAGTTTGTCTTAATCTAATAATAGTAGAAATTCTATTCATTCTAAAAGAATGAATTGCATATACACTCTGTGGTCTTTTCTAATATCACTTTTCTTAGCTGAGTGATATTAGCAATCCATTAGGCATAGAATCTCACACAATGGAAGATACTTTTGAAGCGCTAGAGAGTTCCTTTGCTTTATTATTGATTGAAAATGAATTGTGTATAGTGTTTCATTGTCAAAACAAAGGGAAGCAGGGTGGGCCGAGTGGCTCAGCTGGTTAAAAGCTCACTTGGGAGCACCAGCTCTGAGCAGCAGGGCTGCGGTTTGGATCCCACATTGAGGGCCAGTGACGCCGCACCCTCTACAGGTAAGATGGCGAACAACAGCTTGACCTGGAGCTGGGCTGCTGTGAGTCGCTGGCGACAATGTAGGCTGCAGCGGGGCTGCAGTGGGCTGCTGTGAGCTACGTGAGTGGCTGGCAGCCAGCGTGAGCGGCCAGCAGCTGATGTGAGCTACCGGGAGCCACTGTGAGTGACCGACCAATGACCGGCGACCGATTGCCTCACCCAGGAAGAGCACAATGATCATACCACCATGGTCCAGTGAAGCGACGTCCTCCACAACTAGACTGAAGAACAAAAGGACAGCAACTTGTCTGTTCCCCTTCCACAATTCCCCAGCGCTGTTAC